CAAATAGTCGATTATCAAAATGATTTGGACTCTAGTAATTTTTATAAAAAAGAAAGAACAGCTTCATCTAAAGTTAGTGACTCCAGGAAGAGGTTATATAACGAAATAAGTCAAACTGGAGATCATTTATTTGTTTCAGAGAGCACAGTCAAAAGAAAAACTAATAAGGATAAACAGCAGCAACAACAAATAGTAGAGAGTGTATCATCTTCTACAGATGCATCAAATCATGAATTAATAAAGATTACCTCAGATATATTAAAGAATACTGTAGAAGTTGATAATAATAAATGGAAGTTGGAAGAATCAAGTTTAGTTGCAGACCATATTATTGAACCTGGCATTGATTTAATAACGGATGAGAAATCAATATTTGACGAAGTTTTGGGACAAGAATCTTCATTAAGAATATGGTGGTATGATGCCTATGAAAAAGACAATCAAAGCCTGCTTTATTTGTTTGGAAAGGTAGCCACTGAAAAAAAAAAAAAAAAAAAAAAAGAAAAGAAAGAAAAGAAAGTATTCAAATAGCTTTACTCATTTTTTTTTTTTTGTATAAACAATTGAAGGCTTTTGTTCCGTCTAGAAATAAATATGAAAGTTGTTGTGTTTCAATTCAAAATGTAAAGCAAGAGCTCTATTTCTTGCCTCGTCCTTTTATCTAATATGGGTAAAGAGAAATAAAACAAAGCCAAAAAAAAAAAAAAAATTCATTGAATATACATACATGTACTAATTATTTACTACTACATAGCATATGGTATTTCAAAAAATATGCCTGTAACTTTAGATGATGTTTGCATAGAAATAAAACAAATATTAACTAAAGAATTAAATATCAGTGACAGTAATGATTATCATATAGAAATATGTCGACGTAAATATGCAGGATATTTATCAGATATTCCTGAGGGAGAAACTAGTTTTATCAAGTTGACTATAAACTATAATCAAGATCGTGGATACTTTCAGAGATTGACATATGGTAAAACCTTTAGTCGTATTTTTGGTGCTGATGTTGATCTCATGCAGCTTTTCATTTTAAGATATAAAATTATGGGCCCTTGCTGGCTTGAATTTAAGAATGTTACTTTAAATCAAAAACCGAATTCTTGGTGCCGTATCAATGTGATAACAAATGATTCTATACAAAAGGACTCTTGTATCGTCATAGTCGATCAAAATATCACTCCACCTCCATTAACCATGATATTCCTTCAATTGCATACAAAGATGAATTTTATTACAAACAAATATGAAGTGGTCGCCATTAGTATGCTTACAAAAGAAAACATGGATATTGACAATAAAAAGGCCATGACTCAAGCAGCAAAGACAGGAAGTCGTATGACATTTATCAAAAAACCTTATTTCGCTAATCATGATGATTATACTGTGTTAAACCAAGCTTTAATGAAAGAAAGAAATGTAAAGAATCATGTAGTGTTAATTCAGAATACGGAAAGGGATATGATTGAAGTGTTGTTATCAATGATAGATGCGATTGATCCTGATATTATAGTAGGTCATGATTTTACTCACTTTATGCTAGATATCCTCTTGCAGCGTATGAAAAGCCTAAAGATTCAAAACTGGCATAGATTAGGTAGAATTAAATTTAGTAAATTCCCAAAACTCCAGACTAGTCCAGGAGGTACGGAGTTATCTACATATAAAGAAGCATTAGTTATGTCAGGAAGATTAGTTTGCGATATTCTTGCCTCTTCGCAAATTAGTGAAAAGCAGATCATATGATTTGACTGAACTAGCTCGTGCACTGTTAGATTTGCCTCGTAGTGATAGTTGTACCAGAATGATACGTACCGTTGATGACGTTTTGGAAGTTGTTCATCATTGCTCCTATGATGCTTATTTATCATTTGCATTAATGGTTAAACTTCAGATATTACCATTAACAAAGTGTTTAACAAATTTATCCGGCAATCTTTGGTCGCATACAATGTATGGTGCTCGATTAGAGAGAGTGGAATATTTACTTTTTCATACATTCTATGAACGAGGCTATATTTGCCCGAATAAAGTTGAATACAACGATGGGCATGCATCATATAATTTGAATGACAGCTGGGATATCTTTAATAATGATCGTGAATCTGCTGAAAACTTGTTATCTTATGAAGGTGGCCTAGTTCTAGATCCTGTAGTTGGCCTGTATGACGATTATGTATTATTATTAGATTTTAATAGTTTATATCCATCTATTATTCAAGAATATAATGTTTGTTTTACTACTATTTTACGTCAGCAAGTACACCAAAATGAACAAGATATTTCATCAGATCTCTCAATGCCTCCTGGTATTTTACCTGAATTAGTGAAGAGAGTCGTTAAAGAAAGGAAAAGTATCAAGTCTAGAATGAAAATGACGGGTATCTCTGAAGAACTCAAGTCTCAATTGAATATTCAGCAAATGGCATACAAATTGACAGCCAATAGTATGTATGGTTGTTTAGGATCTACCTATTCCCGTTTTTATGCCAAGCCCTTAGCAGCATTTATTACTCGAATGGGTCGCACCATTTTAAGATCTACAGTTGATCTTGCACGTGAATTAGGCTTGGATGTCATCTATGGAGATACAGATTCGGTTATGATAAATACAAAGACACATAATATAAGCAAAGCGAAACAACTTGGACATTTGCTTAAAGAACATGTGAATCGTCGCTACAGATCATTAGAATTAGAAATGGATGGCGTATTTCGACGAACGCTTCTGTTGAGAAAGAAAAAATATGCTGCTTTATCGATTATGTATAGCAAAAATGATGTTTTACAGGCAAAAATTGAAGTAAAAGGTCTTGAAATGGTTCGACGTGATTGGTGTCAATTATCACATCGTGTATCTAGCCAAATATTGATGTATATCCTTACCTTTGGTTTAAACACAACTACTGGGAGACATGAATTCCCCTCAATTGCGCAAGCTATTTATAACAAGTTGACAGAGGTTGCGTCTACCATCAAACAAGTCCATTTAAATGATTTAATTATTCTACAGCAATTGACAAAGAACTTGAAAGAATATGAAAATAATTTAATGCATGTTATGGTTGCTAAGGATATGCAAAAGAGTTGGATAAATGTTAAAAGGGGCGATGTGATCCCCTATGTGGTTTGTAAAGATGATAAATGTAGCTTACCGTGTATACCCTCGCATATACATAAAACAAAAGCAGAGATTGATTATGTCTGGTATCTCTGTAAACAGATATTACCTCCTGTGCTAAAAATATGTGGCCCAATTGAAAGTATTGAAGAAGAAGAATTAAAATCATGTTTAGGTATTGATCGTAAGATGTTTAAAAGATCAAATAGAAAAAGTAAAGCAAATGAAGACAGTGATGAAGAAAATCCAGAATTTGTTATTGAAGAATGGGATAACAATAATAATACAATCTACTTTAATATCAGCAGAAGATAATATAGAATGCGTTTTAGACATATATTGCTCACATTGTAGTCATAAAGGCCAATATAATGAATTTCTTTGCATCTTAAATGAAAAGAACTCTGCATATTATGGTTTTCAATGTATACAATGCAGTCATGTATTAACAGCTAATAATATCATTAATCAACTCATACTTGCTATTCGATCTCATATCAACAGGTATTATTCTTCACCTCTTCTATGTTCTGAGCAACTTTGTAGTAGATTATATCCTCCAGGTCAATCATTAAGTGTTGATGTAAAGTGCCCATTTATCGGCTGTGGTGGACGCCTTGTTCGTGAGGTACAATGTTTAAAAATAAAAAAAAAAAAGGAAAATAATATGCTTACTTTATATTATTATATCTTTTTTAGTTTAATGAATCGAAATTATATAGAAATATCTGTTACTTCTCAGACCTATTTGATTTTCAAAAAGTGAAAGAGGAATATCAAAGGAAGCATATTAATAGGATCCATTCAAATGAGCCTCATTATATACCTCTAGAAGATATAGAAATGCATCCAATGTATATTAACATCAAGAAGGAAGTCGACCAATATATATCAATGTCTGCATACAATTATACGAATTTAAAAGATTTTTCATTTTAATACTGTTTAGTATCTTTATTTATTTATTTATTTATCTATTTTCAAGTAAAAAATTAAACTGAAAAAGGTTTGTGTATAATACGGAATATTTTGAGTCATAAATTTTATTTATATTAGCAATTACATAATACCAGCAGCACAATAACAAATCAATTTGATTTCTCCAAGTCTATTAAAAGAATAAGTTTTATGAGTCATCATTTATTTTAAAATTGTTATATCTATATTCTTTACGTTGTCTTCAAAGTCAAAAGTGCATATTATTAATAATTATATTAAATGATTCTTAGTAAGAGTTTGCTTGCATATAACATGTATATTTTTAATTTAATCTTTTTTCTTAAAAAAAATATATATATTCATATTATACTCGAATTATATACAAATATATTACCCTGTGAAACTAAATTTACACCTTTTGACACTACACATAGAGATTTCATTTAATTCTTGTACCAAGAAGTGCAAATTAGCAAGTGGAAAGGTGTACCTCAAAGTTATTTAATTAGATTATAAAAATAAACAGTACAGGTTTGATCTACCCCCTAATATCTTTAATACTACGCATGTATGAATAGTCATATTAATGTGAATTAATTTAAAGTAGAGACATATAACATTCACTTTGATAATATATATATATTTATTTTATGCAAAAATGGTAATTATTCACACTTTTCATTTGTAAATAAAATATATTACACTTGAGCGTGAAATGATTGTTAATATTATATGTATATAGTCTTTAAATGGAATATGTAATAGGACCCTTATTTAGTATCCACTGAATTAAAAAAAAATTAAGGTTGCCATGGTTCGTTTCCATGATGACAACAATAGCCGTTATTGATATATTTTTCTTTTTTTTTTTTTTCGGACCCCCGCTTTTTAATTTAATAATTTATTATAAAACTATATTTTTTTTTTTTTTCATTCTCCTTTTTATTTGTCCGTTTTTAATAGTTTAATAGATTATATTTTACAAATGGACAACTTGATCGAGTTAACCAACAAACTCCAAACTGTAGTTTCCTCGATTGGTGCCGATAACACTTTAGATTTACCTTTGATTGCAGTTGTAGGTTCACAATCATCTGGTAAATCATCTGTATTAGAGACATTAGTTCAACGTGATTTCCTGCCTCGTGGAAGTGGTATAGTCACTCGTCGACCACTTGTTTTACAACTTGTTACTTTACCATCATCACAACAACAAGAGTATGGGGAGTTTTTGCATGTCAAAGAAAAAAAGTTTTTTGATTTTGATGAAATTCGTCAAGAAATTGAACGCGAAACCAATCGTTTAGCTGGAAGTAATAAAGGGATATCACGCATGCCTATTCATTTGCGCATTTATTCTCCTAAAGTACTTAATTTGACTTTGGTCGATCTTCCTGGTTTAACCAAGGTAATGTATAAAGTTTGAAAGAGAGAGGAAAAAAAAAAAGTGAAACTAACCTTGAGTAATTTGTATTTAGATCCCCATAGGTAAATAAATAAAACTTTCAAACATTATAAAATTTAATATAAATGTTATATTTATTGTAGGTGATCAACCCAATGATATTGAAAAACAAATTCGTAGTCTAGTCATGGACTTTATTTCAAATCCGAATAGGTAACATTAAAACCATTCACTTGAAAAAAATAAATAAATAAATAAACTAATGTGAATGTCTTTATAGTATTATTTTGGCAGTAACACCTGCTAATTCCGATTTGGTTAATTCAGATTAGTTTGAAAATAGCAAGACAAGTAGATCCTGAAGGCAAAAGAACAATTGGTGTATTGACAAAACTTGATTTAATGGATGCAGGCACAAATGCTTTAGATATTTTGTCAGGCCGATCTTATCCCTTAAAATTAGGATTTATAGGCGTAGTAAATCGAAGTCAACAAGATATTTTAACGAACAAGCCTATTCAGTTGCACTTGAGGCTGAAAATCAATTCTTCCAACAACACCCTGCATATCGAAGTGTAGCTTCACGTTGTGGTACTCAGTATCTTAGTAAACAATTAAATACGGTATTTTATTTATTTATTTATTTTTTTCCATCTATTCAACAAGATTCAAATATAAATTTTGTTTAATTTTTTTTTTAAAAAAAAAATAGATTTTACTTTCACATATTAAAGAGAAATTACCTGAACTAAGAACGAAACTAGGTACTTTGATCAGTCAAACACAATTAGAACTAAATCAATATGGAGAGCCATCACGAACGACAGAACCATTTCATCGAGGCTCACTTATTCTTCGACTCTTAACCAAATTTTCTAATGATTTTATCGCTGCCATTGATGGTACATCTTCAGAAATGTCCACTAAAGAATTGTGTGGTGGCGCACGTATTTATTATATCTTTAATAATGTCTTTGGACAGGCATTAGATGCGATACCCGCTTGTTCAAACTTAACCAATCATGATATTCGTACTGCTATTCGTAACTCAACAGGTCCTCGTCCTTCATTATTTGTACCTGAATTGGCTTTTGATCTGTTGGTTAGGCCTCAAATTAAATTATTGGAAACACCTAGTTTGAGATGTGTAGAATTAGTTTATGAAGAACTTATGAAAGTGTGTCATAATTCAGATACAAAGGTAAAAATTGAAATAATATATATTATTTTCAATTGACATAAAATTAACCAGCTATTTTTATTCTATTTTATTTTATTTTTTCAGGAACTATTGAGATACCCACGACTTCATCAAAGACTAATTGAAGTTGTTTCAGAATTATTAAGAGAAAGACTTGGACCCACATCGAGTTATATTGAAAGTTTAATTGCAATTGAAAGGGCTTATATTAATACAAATCATCCTGATTTTTTGGGAGCTGCTGGAGCTATGGCTAATTTAGAATCAGAATCAAAAAAGAAAAAAAAGATAGAATCGAAAAGAAAGGTAGTTGAATATAGTAATAGTAATAGTAATAGTAGTAGAAGTAGTAATAGGTATATACATATACATATATATTATTGTTATTAGAATCACTTATCAATGGATACTAAATCAGCAACGGTATTACATAATAATATGAATCATGATAATTTGTCAGTTGCAGATAGTGAGACTGATTCAGTAAGTAATAACAATAAGGAATCATTTTTAAATTATTTCTTTGGTGGAGCTAGTAAAAATGAGAGACCAGCGTTAGGATCACAAGAGATGATGGCTAAAGCACAATATGCTCCACCGCCTATGACTGTTAATACCTTGATGGAAAGTGAAATAATGAAGAAATTAGAACAGACATCCTTAAATGAGGCTCCTTCCCCTAATTCGGTTACAGATAGGGAAGAGTTAGAGATCCATTTAATTCGTATGTATTACAAGTGAGAGAAGGGAAGAGAGACAAAAACGTTGAAATTAACTCTATACTTTGTCTATTCAGGAACGCTGATTACAAGTTATTTTAATATTGTAAGAAAGAATATTCAAGATTTAGTACCAAAGGCAGTTATGCATTTACTTGTGAATTATTCAAGAGAGACAGTACAAAATAGACTTGTAGCAGCACTTTATAAAGAAGAGAACTTTGATGAATTACTACAAGAAGATGATGCAATTGCAACTGAAAGGGAAAAATGTAAAACAATGTTAAATGTCTATAAGCAGGCATTTGAAATAATTAAAAATTCCATGTAACAATTATAAACCAGAATGTTTTTTATTGTAAATGTTATGTTTATATTTAAAAGGGCCGCATGGAAAGTTTTAATTTATATAAAATGCTTCTGTACCTATGACAAAAAAAAAAAAAAAAAAAAAAAAAAAAAAAAAAAAAAAAAAATTGTCAAATAATTTTATTTGTGTAAATACTTATTGTTATATATTTCCTGTTATTTTTTTTTTTCCTTTTTTATTTTTACATTAAATTATAACAAATGGCTGAAACAATAAAAGAAAAAAAGACATATGTCATCGGTTCTCGTAAATCCCAATTAGCACTCGTACAAACCCATATTGTTCGTGATAAACTTCAAACATTATTCCCGAGTATAATTTCAGAATTGAGACAATGTCTACTACAGGGGATAAGATACTTAATCAAGCACTTAGCAAGATTGGTGAAAAGGCCCTTTTTACAAAGGAACTTGAAATTGCTCTTGAAAATAAAACTGTCGATTTTGTTGTTCATAGTCTTAAGGATTTACCAACAGTTTTACCTGAAGGTATGCATTTGGGGGCCATTATGGAACGTGAAAATCCAAATGATGCATTGGTGTTGAATGCTAAATATAAGGGCAAGACATTAAGTACTTTACCTCCCGGTTCTGTTATTGGTACAAGCTCACTTAGACGAGTAGCACAATTGAAAAGAAAGTATCCTCATTTAACATTTACAGATGTGGTAAGCTTTTATTATTTATTTATTTATTTATTTTATTTTATGAATTTATAAAATGCTTATTATTATTATTAAGAGAGGAAATTTAAATACACGATTAGCCAAACTGGATGATGAAAATGGTTCTTTCAGTGGTATTATTTTGGCTGTAGCAGGACTTGTACGTCTTGGACAAGGAGATCGTATATCTCAAGTATTGAGTGCCTCTGACTCTTTACATGCCGTCTCTCAAGGTGCTTTGGGTATTGAATGTCGTAAAGAAGATGATGAAATTCAAAAACTACTCGAGGCTTTAAACCATAATGATACACGTCTTACTTGTTTAGCAGAACGTGCATTGATGCGTACTTTAGAAGGTGGTTGTAGTGTACCTATTGGTGTTAATACTAAATTAGAAAACAATATACTTTGGTTACATGGTTTAGTAGCTAGTTTAGATGGCCAAGTTGTAGTTGAACATAAAGAAGAAATTAGTCTTGAAGGAGTAAATACGAGAGATGAAAGAGAAGTGTTGGCCGAGAAATTAGGACACCAAGTTGCTAATACATTATTGAAAAATGGAGCAGATAAAATTTTAGAAGAATTAGCTCATCGTCATCCTTAAATTAGATCTTATTGTAATTTTAAAATTAAAACTTACTGTTATTATTAATGAACAGGAATAACGCCCTATGATTGGATAGATTTTATTTTATTTTATTTTTTTTTTTTCACTTTTACAAGAAACTATTATAACCGTATATAAAAGATAAAGTACTAATCATTCTATTTCACATATTTGAAAGGTTCAGATAAATAGTAAAATAACAAAAGAGCGTTCTTTTTAAGCATATAAATAATACGTACGCTGAGATCTAATTTGATATTATTGGATGAGTAGCAGTGTTGTAGTAGCATTCGTGCTGCCGTATAAATGAATATAATAAGAACACTTTTTTTTTCACATGCAAAATAATTTCATGTATTCAGTACTTGAAATGCGGGGTAATAAAATAAAGGGAATATATTCCATTTCTTCTGTCCTTTTTTTTTTTTGTTATTTTGTTTCTTCTTTTATCAATGCTAGACCATTTAGTGGGAAAGCCCTCAAGTAATTTTAAACGTATACAAATCTTGTTGACATTTACATTTGGGTAATAGATAAGCATCGATAAATGCTTGGGAATAACTTGCTGATTTTATTTATTTTTTCTATGCAGTTGGTGTCTCGTTTTTTATGGTAAAACGAATAAGCTGCCTCTCTTTATTCAAAAACTAAATAAAAAGCAGGCAAGTTAAAACAGGGCATTAAAAAGTATGCATATATTAATAATACTTGTCTTCATTTATATTCTGGTAAATAATAGGAAAATCACCTTGGAGAGTAGCTTTAGCTTCATGGTTATTAGTTTATTTTTCACAAAATATTTTCTTACTTATTGGTCTGAATGGTAAAATACATTATTTATAATGACTAGTATAAATCTTTATTCATTCTTATTTTTTCTTTTCATATATAAAAGCGCCTGATCCACTTTCAAGATTAGTAAGTTATATATTTATTTATTTATTTATTTAATTCTTATTTTCTCTTTCTCTTTCTCCTTTTTTTTTTATTGTAGTACAAGCGCAGCTTTTATCGTGCTACTTGGATCTTGACAGCCCTTGATGCTGGATTTTTCACGGCAATGTCTTTTAAACCATTATGGGTACGTCATATCCTTTCTATTGTATTTAGTATTTACTACCTTATTTGCGCTGATGCAGCAGAAGAAAAAGTTCGTAAGACTCGCTCCACTATTTCCGTAGAACAAATGCGCATCTCTTGGGAAAAGGTGGCACATAATCCAATCCTTAACTTTATTTCAAGAATAACACGTCCCTCTTTGTCGGTGAAGGATATCATGACAGTGTCAAGGGTAATAGATCAACAAGGTCATCATTTACCTCCTATTGAGGTTCACCGCTATTATGCAGCTCCTAAGGAAACGTTAAAGGATCATGATACTATCTTGGTTCAGTTCCCAGGTGGTGGCTTTGTATCCATGCCACCACCATGTCATGAAGATGCGCTTTCTATATGGGCCAATCATACTGGATTACCTGTCTTTAGTGTGAATTATAAAAAGGCACCTGAATATCCTTATCCATGGCCCATTGATGAATGTTTTGATCTTTATGTAGCTATTGTTCAAAGTAAAGGGAAAGTGCTAGGCCTTTCTGGTAAAAATAATGTGCGTATTATTTTATTAGGGGATTCTGCGTAAAGTATATATATATATCTACTACTTATAACTTGAAATTTTATTGTATTTATATTTATATTTATACATATTATATATATATGTATATATGTATATATGTATATATGTATATAGAGGTGGAAATATTACAGCAGCTGTCACATTGAAAATTATCTCACATAATCAAACATCTCTTAGAAACACTATATCCATTAGTAGCACAATACCACGTTTACCTATTCCTTTGGGACTCATTCTTATCTATCCAGCACTAGACTTTGAAATGTCTTGTTGGATGTCTCCTCTTCATTGTCCCTTATTCGTGCTGAATCTAATACAAATCTTTTTAGATCTGGTCCTTACAATCCCTTTGGCAAACCAAGGATCATCTTAGTCATGTGAGTCCTCTTAGTGTCATTCCTGAGACAGATAAAGCTACACATTGGTGGGAATTAAAGAAAAACCTACTATCCATGATCGTGCGGTAAACGAAATCAAGTGAGCCATAAAGAGGCCTGGGCTTCCTCACGTCTTGCCATGACGAGTCGTATGAGTTTCTTTAATGATCGTATTATTACTCCAGACCTTATGCGTGCTATGGCTATCTGTAAGACATATATATATATATAAGCTGTAACATATTGAGTATTTATTTATTTATATACGTATATCAGTATACTTAGGACCTCATGCATCTCCTGATTTCGATAATGATTATTTGTTATCACCTATTAAGGCACCTGAAGAATTATTAGCTCAATTTCCAAAAACGTTTATGATGTGTGGTGAAAAGATCCTTTAGTCGATGATACTGTCATCTTTGCAGGACGTATTCGACAAGCTAAAACAAAATACATACGATGGATGATATGACGTTCGAGTTCAATTTTTGGAAGCATCAGTCATGCCTTCTTACAAATGATGGCCGTTTTACCAGAGGCACATGAGGCGGCAAGAATGATTGGAGATTGGGTAAAAGAACTTTATCAAGATGACATGCCCTTGGTAGTACAAGATTTGACAAACGAAAGGACATGCTTCATCGTAGAAAACGCAATTAGTTACAGGATTTTTTAAAAGAAGCAAAAAAAAAAAAAAAAAGAAAAAAAAACTCTTTTTTTATTATTATTATTATTATTCATTTATTATTATTTAATCTATCTCCATTTTCATGGATTTATTAGTATTTATGTCTTGTTCAGACAATCTTCTTTTCTGTTGATAATTAAATATGTATTATCGGTTAGTCTTATATAGAGTTTGATAAGAGTAGGTACATCTAAATGTGCCTGAATTTGTTGTGTTAATTGTTGAATTCAAATATACGAGAATTCCAATGTTGAGTAGGATTAGGCGAATATAACGAATTGTGGGTTTTGTAGGCTGATTAGATGGAATATCAATTGTAATAGGTACAATGATAAATGAAGACTGTTGATTATGTAACGGAGGTGATGTAATGAAATATGAAGTGAATTGGGTGCGTCAGCTGTATTGACTTCGATCTTTTGTTTGAGTATCATTGTTTTCTGTTTATTCATTAAGTCAAAAAAAAAAATAAATGGGGGGAGAGTTTAAGATGCTTACCTATAAAATGTCTTGTAATGATATACTTTGAATATTGTTTTCTTCTTTTACACAGCATGTGTTCTTATTAAAGATACTTTTAAACAAGGTATTAAATACTTGTTGTTGACGTAGACATTGAAGAATATTAAATATCTGTACAGGATGTTGAAATGGGATACGTGATACTAATTTTCCACTTGAAGGTAAAAATGACATCCATTTATATATCATTTTGTATGTCTTTTCTTTATCAACGAATGACTACCAAAATTAGTGAGCAAATCAAAATACATTCTTATCCATTTATACATTTTTTTAAAAAAAAAAGGTACCATTTTCCAACTATGATCTGTTAGTAGAGTCGTATTATTTTTGTCTTCTTCTTCATTCAAATCTGATATTAAAATCTCTTCTAACGATAATGTAGATGGAGATTTAGAAGCTGTATTTCTTGTTGCGTCCATATTCAATAGTCCAGTCATATTGAGTAGTTTTGACAAAGTTCATCAGATACGGGTAAAGGAGGGTCTAGGATCATTACAAATCGAATGGGTACAGGCTTTGCTTCAGGATGACTAGGTAAAGGTTTTAAATAATGTAGTTGAGGCATATAAATGGGTGCAGTTGTTTCTGTTACAATTGTGAATTGTTCATTATTGATAGATTCTTCTGTTTCTTCAAATCCAAGCAAGTAAGATGTTCTTGACTGAGTAGGTAAATAATACATGAGTTGGATAGAGTCTTCAAAGGTGATTAATACTCTAGACGCCAATGACAATAAAGGATGACTTTGAGATTTATCAAATAAAGATGTCTTCACTTCTTCCCAATCTATTGACTTTATTTGTTCTTTATTCATCCAATAAGCAATTGAAATCCCAGGATATCCCAAGTGAAAAGTAGGGATACCATGTCCTTCTAACAAAATAACAGATGCATCAGATTCCATTGATCTAAAGGAAAAAAAAAGTTAATGTTAAATAATATATACATATTATATTTTTTTCTTATCGTAGCCTATATTTACATTTCTTGTTGATATATAGTGACAAAGTCATTAAATAAATTCTTTGTGATCAAAAAGAAATCTGTTGGATTATATTTTACATTAAGTTGATCTAAAAGAGCTAAACTACCCAAATTACGTTTAAACAATTCGAATTGACGTTTTTGAAGGTTTTCTGCTAGCATAGCATCTACTCTATCGTCCTTATCATTTTGTAATCCTTCTGATACATAAGTCACTTTAGCTCTTAGGATTCGACCCATATTATCAATATCAATCTATAAAAAAAAAAAAGAGAGAGAGAGAGAGAGAGAGAGAGGGATGAGTAATCATCAAGTTGATTCAGAAACACATATAAATAAACGTACATCAACAACTATAACTGTTCCACCCAATGTGATTGTCGTAATAGGTACATCGGACTCAAATTTTTGTGTTGAATCGATAAAGGTGACTAAACTATACAAACAGATTAGCAGTTAATTTAAATAAAACGTAAACTAACTTTTTACCCCATCGATTGTGCAATTTTCTCTAATCGTTGGGTCTCAATCTTTAATTTTGATTCTTCCTTTTCTCTTATTGAATTATCAAAGTATTCCTTTGTTTGCTTCAAGGTTTCTTTAAAGCGTCGTACAGTACTTTCGAGCATGGCTTGTTCTTTGAGATGTGTAAAATGTTTGCGAAATGCAGGATCAGCACCTGCTCCCATCTTCATGACATCACCTAATACTTCTGTTTCAAATTGTGAGCATACATTACGAATAATGTTAATATGTTGAGCAAATTCTTCACGCGCTTTATCAAGATTAACTTTTCCTAATGCATGAAGCTCTGAAGATGTGTATATAAGTAAATTTTTTTAAAAAAAAAAGTAAATGTACACGTTCCGTATGTGTAAGTACCATTGGGCTTATTTCTTATCTCCTCAGAGGGCTTGTTTTGAAGACAGAACAATTGTTGCTTGAGGTTATGTAAGGAAGATTGAAGCCCAAACACAGCCGAACTAATTGAATTCTGTTGATGCTCTGTCATAATTTACCAAGAAAGGAGAAAAAAAAAAAAAAAAAAAAGGATAGAATAAGTCTAAATTTTTACTTTCGACATATTCGGATTTTTAAAAATATTTGCTTTAAAGAATAATGTAAGTGGTAAAATAAATATCTTCTAAGTTTATTCACTAATAGTATTCAAATATGAAATACCGAGAAAGTATTCCTTTTTTTTGGCTGTTATTGTTAAGGAAAGTCAAAAGGGGGTAATGTAGCTTAGAAATCAAACGCGTTTTATCTAGAAGTATATATCTTCATCTAAAAATTAGACAACGATCCTTGACTTTCTTCTGGAAAGATTTTATAAATGTTGATTTTTCGTAGAGAAAGTCTTTTTGTTACTTTTTAGGATCTATATCCCAAACAAACAAACATTTATAGCCATGACAAGAGATTAAAAGAGTCTTATTAACCAGTATCGAGATAGCTACTAGCGATTATTACTTTTTATCACCTAATAGAGCGAAAGTACGCTAAAAAAAAAAAAAAAAAAAAAAAAAAAAGCAACTAGTCTTTTATAGTTATCGCTACACTAAATCAAGATACAAAGTAATTTTTTTTTTGTATAGAGTGTCTCGTTTTAGATTAAAACACTGTAATGATAAACTTAGTAGAACATACAATCTGTAGCCAAAACATACTTACGGATAATTAAAAATTTATAGATGTTATGTTAAAAAGTTTCTTACCCTGTCACAGTTAAACCAATTAATTTTTAACAATGAAAAGGAGATTATTATGCCTTTATCAAACCATTCTTCTTTTTAATTGGCCACAATTATTATATGTCGCTCCAAACTATAATGAGCCCATTTTTTTTTTTTTTTTTTTTTTTTTTTTTTTTTTTTGTGTGTGGGTGTATGCTTTTTTTTTTTTTATTTTTATTTTATTTTTTTCTTTCATTTAATTCATTTATACATTTATTTTATACATGGCAAATCGTCATCGACAAACACGTAATGCTTCCAACGAGTCTATTTCTGCTTCTACTAATGTAGTAGGTACACACTATAAAGTTGGAAGAAAGATAGGTGAAGGGAGTTTTGGTATTATCATGAAGGTATATATAACGAAAGTTTAAACCAAAAAAAAAAAAAAAAAAAAAAAAAAAAAAAAAAAAAACTCAGTAGTTGAATTTATACATTTATACATTTATGGATATATAGGCCTTAATTTAACGAATAACAACAGGTAGCTATTAAGTTGAATCAAGAAAGTCAGATGCACCTCAACTTAGAGGAATAAAAACATATAAAATATTAGCAGATTCAAGTAAAAGAATTTTATTTTATTTCTTGCATTATATTCATTTGTAAACTTATAATGGTATTCCAAATGCTTATTATTTTGGACAAGGAAGGACTTTATAGTATTGTGATTGACATATTAGGACCTAGTTTAGAGGATTTATTTGATATGTCTCACGTAAATTAGTACAAACAGTAGCTATGTTAGCTAAACAAATGGTAAGTCATGATATAATAATAAAAAAATAAAGTAATTCATGACTCTAATAGATATCAGATAACTCGAGTACAATCTATTCATGAGCATAATTTGATTTATCGCGATATTAAACCAGATAATTTCTTAATTGGAAAACCAAATACAAGAATGCAAATACGATATATATGATGACTTTGGTATGGAATTATACTGATCCAAGACACAAAACAACATATTCATATCGTGAAGAAAGAGTCATCGGCACAGCGAGATATATGAGCATTAATACCCATTTAGGAAGAGCAATCAAGACGTGATGATTTAGAATCATTAGGTCATGTATTTATGTATTTCTAAGAGGTGCTTTACCATGGCAGGGCTTAAGGCAGCAACAAATAAGCAAAAAATTAAAGAATTGGTGAAAAGAAGCAAACAACACAAGTAAAAGATTTATGTGATGGATTTCCAGGTATAAGAGTATGAATAAAGTAGTCACAATGTATACTCATTATATATATTCTATTTTTTTTTTTTTTTTTTTATACAAAAGATGAATTTGGACTCTATTTACAATATACTAGGCATCTAAAATTTGAAGAAGATCCAAATTATGAATATTTAAAATGTTTATTTGATAAAGTATTAGAGTCATTAGGTGAAAAAGATGATGGTATTTATGACTGGATGTTATTAAATGATGGAAAAGGATGGGAGGTAATAAACGACAGTAAGAAAAAAAAAAGAAGAATATATAAATAACAAGCTTTATATGTATATAGTATTGTTCATCGTCAAGTCTTTATCGCTATAGACAGCAACAGCACCAGAGTAATAATGCTGCAGTTGCATTACATGACATCACTCATGTTCGACCAAAGCAACGTAGTTACAATATTAAAAGACAGCAACAGCAACAGCAACAGCAACAGCGACAGCAACAGCGACAGCAACATTATAAAGCAAGTCAGCCTATGTTAACAAATATGAATAACTATCATTCAATGGATACAACAACATTAAATAAACAACAACAAAGACAGCAACGACAACAGCAAATAGAAAATAATAGCGAACAAAAGGAAAGTCTTTTGTATAAATGCTTTAATAGTTTCTTCTGTCCATGTTTATAAAGAATATGCATCGTATACCTTTACTCTTTCTCTCTCTCTCTCTCTCTCTTTTATCCTGTTTGGTTCCTGAGCGTAATTTTAATATACTTTATATAACACGACGTCATTAATATTTATGTTCCTTTTATTGATATATATATATTTATATACATATATTACATTCTAATATAATTAAGCAATTTTTTATTATATATGTTATTAAAATGTTAATTAACTTAATTCAATACATAACTTTGTCCCAGATCACATTAAGATTTTTTTTTGGAAAAAAGGGATTCGAGATAGCAATTGTTAAATAGGCCGAATAATGTTAGTAGTAACACCAAATATACTCTAATAAAATGAACAGTACGACAAGGAAATAAGATTATATCCTGACAAAAAAAAAAGACACTAACAAGAACAATGTAGAATAAACTAAAGTAAATTAAAGATAAGGAGAAATGGCTGTGTAAGATACCAAGTCTAGCTTTCATGAATTTCAATGGTTAAAATACTTAAAAAGTGATCTGACGAGCACTCAGCATCAATACGCAGTCAGGATTCTGGTATAACAATTATCCAAGTCAATTTTATGAAACGGTCATTTGTAGTGGGAACTAAGCTTTGACATTGTATTCATATTCACTTCCACGATAGCGCAGCACAATGGACGTTTAATAAATGATAGTTGGACTTTTATTATAATAATAATAATAATAAAAGCTGATTTAGCATTGATTCGTTTTGTAGTAATATAGTTCATTAGCAAGAATAAATAGTAGATAACCATTGAATGAACTGTCTGTTATCTCTTTCAAATGATTTTGTTGTTTTCGCTGCTAAACGGCTCATTAACCAAATATGAGTTGCTTCTTGACCCTGAATGACAGTAACATTATCCCTTTTTAGCTTATTAGATATCCACTCTTCTATGCTTGGTCTTAATAACTCTTCGCTGCCATAAGCTATGAATAAAGGGCAATCAATATCATCAAAATTACCATAAATTGGAGATATCAATGGATCTTTATTGTTGACTGATGACGACGGTAAATAACATGAAGCAAACATCTCTAGTTGATGATTGCCAATAATGTCCTTTTTATTATCAACTAATGAAAATCCTGATAAATCAATCCATGGTGAAAATAAAGCAGCACCTCCTGGTAAAGGTAAGGGAGCCCTTTTGAACATGTCATTCATAAGCTCCTCTTTACGTTCCTGTCTTTCTTTCTTTAAACGCAACAACAAAGTGGCTGCTAAATTACCTCCTGCGCTATCCCCGGCTATAATAACTCTACAAGGGCTCACACTCAAGTCATGAATTAAATAGCGGTATGCTTGTATACATTCTTCACTAGCTTTCGGCCATACGTGTTCAGGGCTTAAACTATATTCTACAGATAAAATGCGTGCCTGTAATTTATAAATTTGTTGAAGTTGATTAATAATGAATTGAAATGCCTCCATGTACATTGTTGCATGTCCTTGTACAAATCCACCACCTGGAAATATATTTAAACTATTAAGAAAAGAAAAAAACAAAGAATTACTTTTAGTTGTACCAATAAAGAATGATCAAATCTTGATCAGATGCTGTATCCTCTGCATTTTGAATATTTTTTAATTGAGATGCAATCCATTTCCCCTTCCAGGAGTTTTGTTTGTTTATTTCAAGAATCCAACTAGTTTCATCTCCTATTGGACTAGTTGTCACTTTTAAAAGTTGACGTACTATAGAAAGTGGAAGTCGATAAGATTCTCTATTGATAAAACGCCGTATTGGGAAAGGAGTATTTAAAATTATACTTCGACTTATCAAATGCACTTTTAGAGAAAAAAATAAATAAATAATAATAAAAGGAATAGTTAAATAGTATCAAACAAATTTAAATCTATTTATTTTACATAATCTTCTGCCATTCTTTGTAACCAAAAACACAAAGCAGATTGCAAATCGGATACTATTCAACATGATAACGAATTTGTAAAGTCAAATTATACTTGCATTTAATTGCATCTGAATTTTTCTATGTACACCCCCTCCGCGTTTTTTTTTTTTTTTTTATGATGAACAGGTTCATGTCATGTGTAGTATAAAGCACACACACACACACACACACACAAATTTATATTTGTCTATATTCTTTTTTTTTTTTATTTTCTTCCACTTATTAACTTTAAAAACAAAAAGAAAAAAGAGGAATATGAGTTCAGTTTCTTCTATGAAGGCAGTGATAAAGACTCGTTCTTTCAAAGAAGTTTTATTGAAAGTTCAGCATCTTCGCTTCGACATGCTTACCTTCGTAAAACGGATTTACTAGATACACTAGATAGTAATAATAGTCGTTTACGCGATACTGATGCTTGGAGTGTAGCAGCTACTATTGATGATCAAGAATCTGTCATTAGTGCTCATGGGGGTCCACCATCGATTATAAGTAGTAGTCGAATGACTATTGATAGAGAAACTGATGACGACAGGTCCACCTTAGATGGAGAATCTTCCATTAGGGACCGTTTACAAGACATTCACCTTTCGTCTTCACCTCTTCAAATTCATATCAGTAACAGTAACAGTAACAATAATAATAATAATAATAGCAATAACACTATTAGCTCCAATAATACGAATAACAGCCGACTTGATGCCATGTTACATGATTTAGTTAACCCACATAATATCGGTATCAATAATCATCATCATCATCATCACCACCTTTTACGTGGAAGTCATCATAGTATCATTGCTGATGATGAAGAAGATAAAAGGTCGAGGTCTAATGCAGCTGAATTTGGTGATGATGGGACTCGGTCCGCAGCAGCTGATTTTGACCATAGTGTTGCAAGTGATGACGATAGTAGTCACCACAATGTTGTGGATGATCAGATTATGGCACCACCTCAACCCCAACCAAGTTTTGCATCTGTAACAAAATCCTATGCTGAATTAATGGAAGAAAATGAAATTCTTCAAACACAGCTTCGTGCAGCTCAACTTGCACAAAAGCATCAAGAACAAATGATTCAGCATTTAAGACACTTGACAGGATGTGATGATGAACTCTACGGGAAGGCAGTCCATCTGTCACAAAGAGGGGGAGAAGAAATGGATGGCCACAAGGAGAACTCAGGTCATGATAGTAGTAATACCTCTGATAGAGGCGATAGTAATTTAATAAAGGAGAAGGAGATGTTTTTTGATTCACCCTCATTGGAACATATTCAAGTCCCACCTATCGTGAATGCACGTACCTTGACACAAAAGTTAGCAAGACTAGCTGAAACTTTAATTCGATTTGTTAAATCAATCGTGTCAGAAGAGAATGAATGGCAACAGCTAAATTTTGAACAATCCTTATTTTTTCATATCACGCAATTGTATTTGGAAGCGCTTCCATTTGGAACAGAGAATCAACATTTGTTAAATACTGCATATCAAGATCAAATACATCGATTTCATAATACACTTGGAGCCAATTTTGCTAAATGGTATCGAAGACAAACAGTACAATCATTATCTTTAAACCCTGCTACTAAGGAATACCTGCAAAACATGAGAAATGTATTAACTGAAGAGATGTTAAGACAGTTACATACTCAAAATTGCCATGATGAGCCTGATATGAATCTTTGGGAAGATATTTTGGAATTATGTGCTGCTTTATCACTTGAAATTCATGGTGGAGATGCTGATGTAACTGCACAAACAATTGCTGTAGGAAGCAAATATGACGAAGAAATTATGGCTGCTGCCCTTGTTGGAAATGAGGTTCATAACAATAGTAATAGTAATAATAGTAGTAGTAATAATAGTAGTAATAATAATAGTGGTAGTAGTAATAGTAGTAGTAGTAATAACGCCACAAAAGATAAAGTGGTTAAAATGATGATTAGTCCATTGTTTATTGATGAAGAAGAAGTTGTCTTATTACCGGCAAGAGTCATCATTGAATAATATATATATACATTGATTACCTCATTTTCTGCTATACTCTATCTTCTTTATTATATATTATTAAATAAATAAAGATATATGGTCAATTTACAATACTATCTATTCATGAATTTTTTTTATTGAACGCGCTTATTTTGGAGTCCCCTGTTTGTATTAATGTATTTGTATGTTACCTGAGCTCTACATAGTTCTATAGTATGTATTTTATGTGTATTATGGGCTCCAAACTGAAAGCAATAATGGATGTCAACAAGAAGCTTCTTCTTCAATATAACAAGATGTGGCGACATGAATACTTTTTTTTTTCAAGATAAGCATTGGTATCCTCTATAAAGGACATTATAGTAAACTGTTTATATAATACACAAACATACTAGCTAAATTCGGATAATAATAATATTTTTTTTTATCATTTATTTTTGAATTTTTCATAAAGATTTTTGAAAAATTATACATACATTATTTATGCATGTTGAGAAAAAAAAGTCTATTTTAATAAGCGTGTGATTTCAATATTATTATTATTTTCTTCCATAATAATGTATAAAGATATTCCTTGTAATTGCTCATTTCGGAAAATAATAAATGATAATCAACAACATGAATTGATTAAAATTGTTAATGCAGAAAAGACAAGATCAGACAACAGTACAAATAATAGCTTTGTTGTTTATATAATAGAAATAAATGTATATTATGATTTATTATAGATAAGCCGTTGATAAAATGATACATTAACAGATGTATAAACACATATATATTTATATTAGAATATAGAAGAACATGTCAAAAGAAGATACAGTGAATTTGAGTCCTTTAGAAAATCACTTGTCAAATTATATCCCACAACATGTATACCACCAATACCAGAAAAGCATTCATTATGTAAAGTGTATAGTTTCACTATGAATAACATATCTATCTATTTATCTATTTATATTCATTTCATATTGAAATATTAGCAGACTATACACTAAAAGACACTGGTGCAATGATTGAAAAGAGAAAAAGAATGCTTGAAAGATTTTTGAATAGAATAGCTAGTCATCCAATATTGAATCAAGAGCACATATTTCATCGTTTTTTAAACACTGAAGATAGTTGGGTAAAGAAATCATTATGAGACTAATTTCCCTATTTAATTACAAGTTCTTTTTTTTTTCTTTTCTTTTTAGACAGATATTGCAAATACGCCACCACTTTCAACTTTACCAAAAGATCCATTATTACCAAATTATTTTACTATTAGTTCTTTAACTTCCAATCCTATACAGCAAAATAACTCTATTATCCCCGTACCTTCAAGTTCATATACACTAAAATATCCAGATAACGAATTTGACCGATTTGAATTAAAGGTAGATAAACACGCTCAACAAATCACATTTCAATTTGATAAATCACAAAAACGTATATTAAAAAGACTTCAAGGTATCATATTGCAAAAAGATATATATATGAATAGTATATAAATTCGTTGTATTTCATTATATTTTTTTCACTCAGAATTATCAAACGATTATGCTGAGTTGGGCTCTGCTTACAATGGACTAAGTTTAAATGAAGTAGACTCCATATCTATATTATTGGAAAAAATAGGTCAAGTCATTGATGGAACTAATACAACTACAAAGGAAATGATTCAAACCTTAGAAGCTGAATTTGCAGAATATGTACAAGAATATACTCAATATCTAACTATCCTAAAAATTGTTTAGAATATCGTCGTTTGAAGCAAGCCCAATATGAATTAATCGAGGTGGCTATACATACAAAGAAAATCACATCTGAGGTCTTTAGTTAAAACAGAAGAGGAATCACAAAAGTTATTACTAAAGCCCACTAATAATACTGAAGAAGAAGAAGGTATTGTGATACAACAACAACAAGAAGAAGAAGAAGAGAACGACTCTTTTATCGATACTGAATCGATTGAGGATGGATTTTCAGCCATTGTAAAGGCGTCATCCATAAGAGATACTACTACTACTACTATTGAAGAACAAGAAGATAATTATCCTATAAATGCAACTGCACCTATCATTCGTGTTTCCAAGCATCAAACTAAAAGTGGTCTTCACCAAGAAAATTATTTTCTGCTGTTACTTGTACTATCCAAGGCATGATAGATACAGATCCTGAACTAACTAGAAGAATTCAAATCAAGAAACTAAAAGTGACGTTGATGAGGTATGATATGTTATATAGATTTTCCTGTTGTACTAATATTAATATATCGGTTACTAAGCTGGAAAAAATACAAATGGAATTAATACAAGACTTGAAAGAAATATCTACGAATATGGCGAAAGATTTCGAAAGATTACAGATACAAAAGGAAAAAGAGATAAAGTCCATCTTAATAGCGTTTGCTAAAATACATATTCATTATTGTGAACAGGTAAATGCAAGGATTGATATTTAATATGTATATGCATATATATTAAAATATGATCATAGAATACTATAAAGTGGAAAGAAATGCGAGATAAAATAATGATGAAAGACTTGTAGAAAAAGAAAAATTTACAATTATATATTTTTTTATATTTATTATTGTTGATAAATAAAATTACACAAAAGAAAACTGTATATAAAACTATTTCCCTTTTTTTTTTTTTTTTTCTTTAAAAGTTTTCACGCATGAATTCAAAGAAAGCAAAATTATCAGGATGAGCGCCATACTTGTAAACAAATTGAGAAGCTAAATGAGCACCAAAGATAGCCTTTACATAACTTTCAGGTACACGTTGCAACAAGGATTCAAGACCGACTGTTTCCAAGAGTAACTTGGGAAAGCACGTTCCAAGACGGTAGTACGTAAAGTAGAGTTATCCCAGAGACCGGATTGTTGTAATTGAGATTGAAGTTGAACGATAGCGGTTGAGAGTTCATCAGAGAGGATAGAGATAGGTTGCTTAGTACGTTGATGTTCCCTCCAGAGGGCATCGAATTCAAGGGCAGCATTGTGTTCAATAAACGTTTGGACCTCCTTAACGTAGGATTGGTAAAATTCAGGAACGACGCCATCCTTCACACACATGTGTTTTTCGAATTCATCATCGCTAAAGGCAAGGGCAGCAAGGACCTCAAGGGAAGAGGAAGTGACACCGCCCTTATTAGCAGAGGCATCCTTGAAGATGACGATACCGGCCTTCTCGAGACGAAGACGAGCCTCTTGAGTAAAGAAGAGATTAGCACCTTCAACGATGTATTTGTAAAGTGGCGCGCCACTAGGATGATTCTCACCCATCAACAGGTGTACGTTATCGAGACCTACCGATTCAGGACGACCACCGCAGGGGACAAAGAGAGTGGCCTGAGCGAGAGGGTTGGTGTGGAATGTGTTACGGAATTGGAGACCATTCTCGACCAAGGTACCATCAGGTAATGTCACGTTATCTTCATCTACAAGGACACGGAAGCCCTTTGAGGACAAGTAGCTTGTATCAAAATTATTGATCATCAGACGACGGTTAGCGAGACGTTGAAGTTCCTCACGATGAATACCCTCAGAGTCATAGAGCACACCTGAGCCATCCACAACAGCAATGGTTTTGTCATTAGAGATCTTGATTTCGTTGGAACCCAAGTCACCATCAGGACCCCCTGTTTGCAATTTGAAACAATCCTCCTCTTGAAGACCAAAGGTACGGTAGATACCCAAGACGTATTGATGTACAGAGCGAGTTGTCATACCATAGACGTCATGAGGGATACCACCCAAGGACTGACTCTTGCCGGTCGTGAAGGCCTTCCAGAAGCTTGCACCACGACGACGAGCGTGTTGAGAGGCCCAATCCATGTACTCGGCAGTACCCTCATCGGGACCAAGGAACAAGATCTCGGGTTTCTCTGTCAGATCGACCAATTTCTCTTTGACTCCGATCGTCTCACCATCGATCAAGAGGTCCAAGACAGCGTCTACGTACTTTTCAAAGGCGACAAGGGGTTTATCTTGTTGATCGACATCCAAGAGGATGGTGCCCTTTGAACCACCTTCAGGGATATCCTTGTTCTTACGGTGTTGGGTATTGGCCAAGTTGTAGTTTTCATCAAAGAGAGTACGCAAGTTAATGGAATAAGCCTCTCGATTACGAGAACGAATCATACGGATACCACCACGGGCGACATCGCTGAAACGAATATGGAAACCACGGAATTCAGATCCGACGATCAAGAACATACCATAGGGGGGGAGAGGGTACTCGATCTCGGGCAAGAAACTAGGGTCAAGACGGAAGGAGAGGGCAACCTTGGTAGTTTGATAAAAGTTAGTCTTGAGAATATGTTTGTTAAAGGTGAGGAAGGATTCAAAGACGAGCTGTTCATGAGCGTTACTGGTGACGGACTTGATACGTTTACTGATATCATCAACGGAAAGGACCTCCATGTTGGTCAAACGTTGATAGGAGATGGTAGGTTGTAATGAGGCCTCACGTTGATTCACATAGTGAGTCGTGGCAAAGTTAGCATAGAGGATCTTGAGGAGTTCAGGGTAACTCATGATGATGTCGAGGATATAATCACGAGTAAAGGTATCTTGACGAAGACGTTTTTTCAATTTAGAGAGAACTTCCTCATGCATAGGATTGCTACGATTCAAGATAGAGGTCAAACTAAGATATTCTTTACCTAATCTGTTGAGGAAATGTTGAGCAAAGATCCAACCAACGTAGCTATAGACCATCTCTTGAACTGAAAGCTTATTTGTTTTGAAATAATGTTGAAGAGGTGTTTTAGGAAGACAATAGAGAAGGGAAGCTTCTTTCATGACTTGATAGATAGTATGTTCAATAGGTGCTGCCTTTGATTGAGGTACAGGATGTAAGTACAATCCAATAATAGTCACACCATTTGAAAATTGTTCTAATTTGGGGAAAAAAAATAAATTAAATTAAATTAATTCATTTTCCCAGGCTCATCAAATATAGAAACAAAAAAAAATACTTTACCGACATATTTGCGTGTAGAATATAAGTCGTAATAGTGATACAAATCAGAAATAGCAGAGAAAAACCCTTTGTACTTCTTTGACGATAGCCAATAATAAGACGACGTTCACGAGAACCCTTCCCTCATACATCTCAATGACAGGAC